CCCCAAAACCCCAAAACCCCAAAACCCCAAATAGGAGATAAGGTACTGAAATTTATAAAGTTTTATTTCACGATGAATAGTGAAGGAATACAACTTGGTTTTGTAAGTGGACAGAGGGTGAGAAGGAATGGGAATTTGGGTGGAGAGGTATTTGGAAAAGAGGAGTGGAGGTTGGGGTGGTTTAGAAAATGTGGTTTGGGAGGGATGCAGGTTTAGGATTGTAGCTTGATATTGATGTTGTTGATAATTTCTTCGGGAATAAACTCTATTATCTTCTGTCTAATGGTATCATAATCTGAGATTTGTCACTCAAGTTTTGAATCTGGGTTAGTGGATATTATTTATGGACAAAATTTAAATCTCAAATAATAATAGTTTTAGTCTTTTGTAGATGAACCTTGCCAGATTTGGAATGATTTATTGTGTACTTTAAGACTTTAACTCATAAATAAAGAAAGTAATCAAATATTAAGTAACCATATATCCATTCTTGCTAATATGTTTAGTTGTAGGCTCAGAATGTAGAAGACTATGACTGCGATGTTCCATCAGAATCTCCTGCTGCTTCTAATTCCTTGAGCCCAGTCAAAATTTGACATAAAAGTTTGCTTTCAAAAGATAAGGGAATGATTAAGAAAGATGAGTTTGATAGGTTTATGAGCTCATTGGAGAATCAGTTCACTAAAAGATTTTCTTCACCTCAAAAGAAAGATAAGATTCCTTCTAAAAGTAAGGAGACAACTCCTCCAAAGCCAATTTGGAGATCTTATCAAGTAAAGAAGCTCAAATCTATAAGAAAATTTCATACAAAGAAAGTGGATTACTATAAAAATTGCCTATCAAAAGGAAAAATCCCTCAATTCGGAAAAATAAGAGTCTTTTCACCTTCAAAAAATAAAATAAAGAAAGTAATCACCCAAAAATCTCATAAAAACACCATCACTGTCCCTTTAATAACAATCAACGACATCGAACCTGCAGTAGAACTTGACTAAAAATAACTAATTTCTCTAAATATTCGATTATAAACCCTATCAACCATAAACCTGAAACCACATTTTCATAAACCTTCCTTCTCAAGCTAATATTTCTTCTAATTTTGACACAAAAAATTCAAAATCTCCCAAATGCTAATTTTCCAACACTCTTGTTTCAAAACAGAGTTAAAAAAGTTCTTGGCGTAATTAGGATAAAGTGTGATAATCCGAGAATAATTTTAAATATTAGATAAAAGTGAATACGGGATATTGGCAATTTTGGGGGGTTCATGGATGCCTGCAGAGGAGGAGTTTTAGAGTGAGGGAGCAGGGATTTTATGAGTGGTTTGTGGTGAAGGAGAGGAAGAGGGAGATGGTTTTTGGAGAAATAAGGTTTTTGGGAATTTTCAGGTAATAAATGGGGGTGTTTGGTAGATTGGTGTCGATTAGTGGATTTTATAGAAATGATTTAAGGAGGTTTAGCAGTGTGGGGAGTGAAGAAAGTTTTATAAGCTCTTTCAAGTTGAAAGTGTTGTTTGGAGCTGTATAACTTGGCAAGAGGAGTTTCAAATAGAGAGGAAATTAAGTTGTAATTATAAGCTCAGGAAACCTCATTTATTAAAGTCTCAAATGCTCACTACTATTTATTCTAAAAGCATCCTTTATTACTTGAGAGTTTAAAAGTTCAATTGGAAAATTTTCTATTGTTATTATTTTTACTACCATTTTCAAATTTTCTAACTAAAAGAAATTTTCAAACTTCCCAAATATAAAAATCCAGTAAGGTACTATTAAACTGCCCAATTTCCACAAAAATTCACTCCTAAAATCAATCCAACAAGATCTTCATAAATGGTCAACCAAAATCGCCCAATAACCACCTTGATCTCCTTCACACCAAAACAACCGCACCTCAATTACCCATTACCCCCTTCAAACTTCCCATTTCTCCAACCTCTCAGTGCCAAAATCTGAATTTTCTTCTCTTCCCAAATATCCTTTCTCAGTCTGCTTTCGACACCTAAAAAGCCAAGGCAACGATTCTGGTCATCGGCCAAGCCTCTGAGATTTATAGAGGGTTAGTTTGGGACCTGGCTGGTGGAGGAAGAGGAATGGGAGGTATTGGAATTGAGTGATAGGAATAGAGGCATTGGAAAAAGAAGAGAGGGAGAAGAAGGGGTTAGAAAGTGGGAGATGGAGGTGGAAGATGGGAGATGAGGGGTGTTGAGAGATTGAGAGTTTGAAGGGCTTAAGGGAGTGGTAGGGTGATTGGTAAGGTCTGTGTTTTTTAAGTCAGGAAGAATATCAAAATTATATCTAAACACTCCATTTCTCATCCTCTCCGAAAAAAACCACCTCTAACATTCCTAAAATTCAATAACTTCCCACCCTCCTGGGGTTTTGGGGTTTTGGGGTTTTGGGG